ATATGATAAGTCTAGGTTTCGCAATGTTTTCCTTCGCCGTATGTTATTGGTGTCTAAACAATCTGAGACGGTACAAGAATACAATCGCTAAGAACTGTTAAGTAACATTAAATGATTCTATGCACGCCTTTCTATGAATAACCTATTCACTCGGCACTTGAAGATACCCAAGGTATTTTTCAGGAAACACAGATTCAGGTAAGGAATTCAACGTCAAAATTAATCTTTAATTAGACACTTTTAAGGGCTGACGCCGAGTCGGAGTCGCGGAGAACCTAACAGGTTACCGAGGCTCCGGCTCGACGTGCAGGAAAAGGAATGGGGTGGTTTTTAGTCAGTAAGAGTCTGACACTCCCTCCCGCCTCACTCAGGCGGGAGCAGTCATTCGATGATTGTCGCCCCTTAAAAAAAAATTAGGCACTTTTGAAACGTCAAATAGTGAAGCTAGGTGCTCGTTCCAAAGTATAGTTTAGAATGGAGAAGAACGAGCAAGAAACTCCATCGTTACTCTTTTCAAAAAATCCTTTCCTAAGCGGTTCGCACAAGTAAACTTGAAGCGAAATGCTTCGTTCGAAAGGGTGGAATATCCTGACATTCCTACAGGTTTAGAATCCACTCAATCGAAAACTTTTTACATTCTACGCGGTCAAAACCTTTGGCTGAACGTACAACAACAAAACTACATATAGGTATTTGCAAGCATTATGATCGTACAGCGAACTGAATCGAACTGGCTGGTAGATGCACAATGGAACCGGTTTCCGAGCGACCTGCAATGATACTGACATTACAAAAGTCTAAAGTTATTGAACTTAGCTGATATGAGGCCGCCATTTTTGTTTGAGAACATTTCTATAGTTTGTGGTTTTTGTTGTTTTTTTTTGTGTGTTATGGTGGCAAAGGCGTAGGTACATACATGTATAACCGTATAATGGTTATAGTTACTAGAGGAGATGCAGATGTTGTTTTTTATAGGATAAGTCGTTAAACGACCAGACAGATCACCTGATGGTAAGCAATCGACGTCGCTCATAGAACCTAGAACATCAGAGGCGTTACAAGTGCGTTACCGGACTTTTGGGGATTAAGAATTTGAGGATTATTGTTGGGGATTTAGGGATTGGGGAGATTGGGCGTCCGGTAACTTCGACGAAACACAACGCAAGCGTTGTTTCACGTAGGTTTTCTGCTCGGCCGTGGTATCACTCCGGTCGAGCCGGCCCATTCGTGCCGAAGCATGGCTCACCCACACTTTAATATCATAATCTTAACCTACTTCTAATTATATACATCTGTGATCGAATACCATTATCATTTCAATCATTTAACTATAAACAGTACGCGACATTGATAAACATACACAGTTATAAATGTGTATATTCGTATAGCCAAGCAAACTATACATGTTTACATAGTAAGATTAACACAAAGAGTAACTGTTCGTACAGTGATTAAGTTGAATAAACAATCTTTTGTTGCGCATGCGCATACAGTTTATTCATTTATATGAGTTGACATTTGACAGCGCATAGAGCAATCATCTTGTTTTTTTTTTCTTTCTTGTCTCTGCTTAGTATTTCAAACAAAAAGAAATGTGTGTAATTAAAACACATAACATATTATAACATCATGAATTTTATCCCCGAAGGGGTAGGCAGAGGTGCACGTTACGGCACTTGATGCCATTGTACAATGTAACACTCACTTTTCACTATTTATGTTAATGACCCATGTAATAGGGGGCGAGCCTTTTGCCATATACCCGGCACGATTCCAGACTCTGTGCTAACACTGCCCGACCTGTGAGTGTAATTAAAACAACGCAATTTTAAACTACCGAATTCTAAGATGAATAAAAATAAAGGAATTTCTTTTGAGTTGGTGCCAATCTCATAGGGAATTTCGGAATAACTAACATCTTTGTCGCTTTCTGAAAAGTAAGCTTATCAATGGTGGAAGAAAAACAACGGTTTATAATGAAAATTTATTTACATAATCTTTATTGTACACCACACAATTCAATTAACTATAGGACAAGTATCAACAGAATATTGCGATTTCTTACAGACAACTTTTGGATGGAGCAGTACCTAATATGCGTCTGATATAGTCGTCAAAGGAACAATATTTTATAACTGTATAAAGATAAAAACTGTAAATATATGTTTTTTGAGTTAGACGCGCGTTAGAAGTCTAGACAAACAAGACAACGCCTAAAACTAACCTTAGCTAAATTAAATTAAGATCCAGCATAGATCTCGCTGTTTTCCCAACCGGTACAGCTGATTCTATTAACACGCTGGCATTATTTAATTTAGGCAAATCTATTTTGCGAGCTCAATCGTGCCTAGAAAATAAAATATTACCAACCAACGTTACCTATTACTGCAAAAATATTGTATCTTAATGTATCATCATTACTTATTATTTAAAAATGATAAATTCCTTTCGGCTTTAAGATATTAGCGTACAAAAACAAAACACAAACTTCATCCTTCATGTTTATAAAGTACAAAAGATGTTAAATAAATCATCATTAAAGATTTGACAGTCGGCCATATTTGTTTCTTATTATTAATGCATTCACGTTTAATGGCAAAGGAATTCCGCGTTATGCCACCTACCTGTAACGTATTATGCCTTATAGTTAAATTAAGTAGTTTTACATAAAGGTATTTCTTGAGTTTTTATAGACATGCGATACAAATGTACCGTGAACGAGCGCGGGCATCGTAATTTGAATAAAATTGCATGGCAATTGCATTATTTCGCGTGCTACGAACAATTATATTGTCTCTCATACGTGGAGTGTGTACATAGAAATGTATGTAGTAAGTAACGTACCTACAGGTCATTTTTCTTTTTTTTTATTTGATGGGCCGACGTTTGACTACTAACTATTTCGCCTGGTGGTAAGCGATACGAATTATTTAATACAATACAATACAATAACTAGAGTATTTTATAGACTTCATTAACCTATCATCGGGGGCCGACGTTTGAATACTAACTATTTCGCCTGGTGGTAAGCGATACGAGTTATTTAATACAATACAATAACTAGAGTATTTTATAGATTTCATTAACTTATCGGGCAAAGTAACTAAGTTGTATTAGTTTTCTTGTACTATCATAGTAATTATGGCAGTTGAGAGACTTCTTTGTTAGTTAGTAGTTAGATCGCATCACCACGAGATTGTCTACAATCTACTTCCAAAAAATAATCACTTAATTTGGATATATTATGATGTCTCGTCGAGATTCTGAAACTCTGGAAAGTAACATGATCACGGGAAAGGTAGAAGGAAAAGAGCACGAGGTCGCTTTCCAACACGATGGTCTGATCAAATCAAAATCCTCACGATCCTTTCAATCAACATCGCTGTCAAACATGCTAAAGACAAAACCTCATGGACGGAGTAGGGTTATAGTAGGCCTTGGAGAAGTATTTCCTATGAATGAAGGAACGAAGAAGGAAAAGAGATAGTAGAAGATTGTTAGTAAGCTCTACAGGCCAGGAGCAAGTGCTGGTGAACCACAGCTTGCGGTTGGGTTTTTTTGTTATATAATCAAAAATACTTAAATCTTCTAATTAATTCTTATCCACATACGGATATTTTTTTTTACACTGGCTTTACCGTTCGGGGAATTACGGATTTAACGTGCTAACTAACCAGCTATTTCCGTTCTTTGGTACCTATTTATTATAATACATAGCAATAGTCAATACGTTTAATTTGATAACTAAGTAAATAAAACTATAGAAGAGGTAGAGGCTTAGCCAACAAATGGCATTTGGCCGGTGTAAAAGTTGTCGAAAAATAATTAATACCTACAGATCTACGTTGACTTTTTTATAAAGCCGGTTAAACGAGCAGACGGATCACCTGATGGTAAGCAATCGGCGCCGCCCATGGACACCCGAAAAACGAGAGGCGTTACAAACAAGTGCGTTACCGCTCTTTTGGGGCTTAGGAATTTGAAGATTGTTGGGGATTTATGGATTGGGAGGATTGAGGGGTGTGTTTGCAAAGACAAATTTCTCAAACTTAAGGTAGGTACTATTAGGTATTTTAATAATTAATTATACTTAAATATGGTATAGTTACAAGTAGGTATTGTTTCGTGTGAAAAACAGAGTTAGGTTCATGTCAACTACGCAATTAAATAGACTTAACTAATAACTGATGATTGCTTTATTACAGTTAACCTACATTGTCGATGTATTTTCCTTATTTTTTCTTAAGGAAGAAGGTTTAATAGTCAAGTAGGTAGATGTAAAGACGAATAGTGAGTACCTAAAATAATGTTTAGGGTTTAATAAAACATCGTATATCTCTATTATTAGCTGGAAACATTTTTTTACCCAGATTTAATTATATTTCGCACTTTAGCGGAAACATTCAAATTCTAGGCATGTAAATTTTTTTTAAGATTAAAAGACATTTTTTGTTGGTAGAGTAATTAATCATTTTATAGTAACATTAAAAGCAGGATAATCGCAAATATTTCACTAAATTATTCAGTCTACCTACTATTACATAAATTAAAACTTGTAAGAAATATAATTTAGAAAAATAAAAAACAACAAATAGGCACAACTTTGAATAGGTACCTTTAACTTTATTCCAATTAAAACTTCGAAATCGAAATTTGAAATACAATAGACAAGACGTTCTCATTTTTATTTTCAGTTTCACGTAACTAATCGTATCGTGTTTCTCGTCTTAATTTAATTCGAAACCAAACAATTATCCGTGTGATCGATAGAAAACGAAACAATGTGAATTAATTACAAACAGTAGCGAGTCTTAACAACGTCAAAACTGTCTTATCTTATTAGAAACGAACAATAAACAAAGCGAGTAAACGATTTGACTGGATACAGTACCTAACCAAGTTACAAGTATACGGGAGTGGTTTATGGTTCAACATAACCTCTAAAAGTTCGCAACAATGAGATGATATAGAAAAAACATTATTCCTTTTTAATTACTCACTTCGTCAGCCTTTGGGTGCTCATGTGTACAATGCACATGATGATGCTCACTAACAGTCACAGAAAATACACTAAATATGCACAGAAACACCACAAAACACAACACAAGACCAATGTTTTGGTACATTTTTGCTACAAAAACAGATATTTCACTCACTAAAAGTAATAAAAAATTGTTTGTTTACATTTTAAAATTCCGTGAACGTAATTACGCGCGCTCACTCACTGAAATTCGCGAGGAAACTAAAATATAAATGAATGGAGTGGATATTTGAGTGAAGTTAGGTGCATTATCAACAGCTGATGTCAATCGCGGGCGGCCATATTACTTCCCATTCGCTATCTCTTTCTAACTTACAGAAACGTCGCACGAAAGACAGAGGCAGGTATAACGCGTGAGACGTCAATTGATTTACCTAAAGAACTTTTCGCAGTACAGAATCGTGGTCGTAAAATTGAATTCATTGCTTTTTTTTGTTTTATTTATGATTGAGACTTTAAATTACTATTAAATAGCCAGGCTAGGTTATGTGTGATGTTAAATATCCCTTCAATTTATAAATATAGAGTTGAAACTTCATGAAATCTGGTAAAACATGAAATAGACCGACTATATACCTACTTGGGTATTTATATTGATTGTTTTGCGGTAAGTAAAGCAGAAACGTGCTTTGATCTTACGTGTTACGTATAGGTAGGTACTTGTATACAATACAATACAATGATCCACGCAGTCCACGCTGGCGTATCTATAGGAAATATTTATGCCAGCGGCTTTGTCCACGATCTTGTGCCTGTGTGTTATTCTACTCTAGGCTATAAGTAGGTAACCTGTCGCGGAGAATCTAACGGGTAACCGGGGCTCCGGCTCGACGTGCAGGAGAAGGAACGGGGTGGTTTTTAGTCAGTAAGAGTCTGACACTCCCTTCCGTCTCACCGGCGGGAGCAGTCATTCTATGATTTCCCCATTTAAAAAAAAAGGGCTATAAGTAACCTACCCGGTTTTAAATTTCATCTAGATCTCATCAGCCGTTTTGACGAGTAGAAGTAGCTACTTCTTCTGACAGCTGGCAGAAGCTAGTCAAAAATATATCACACTACCCATCAATTAGGTTACCTAATACCCGATTTTTCCAACACCATATAAAATTTTAATTGAAGAATAACTTTGAATGCCTATTTGACAATACAACAACTAACCAAATGTCAATTTAATTCTACAGTTAAGAATTAACTTATGATTGAAAAATCGGACTGCTCGTTGGCCGAATGGTCGGTCAAGCAAAATATCACTGATTTAAAAAAAAAATCTCAGTAGTAGCACGGAGTTTGGTATTGTGCCTGGTATATGGCAATAGCCTCAATATATGTATTATATGGGACTCATAACATAAATAGTGAAAAGTGGGTGTTACATTGTACAGTGGCATTAAGTGCTGAAATATGCACCTCGGCCTATCCCTTCGGGGATAAGAGGCGTGATGTTATGGTATGTGAAAAATCGCCTCTATAACTTTAATCAACCATTTTGAAACACACGTTCGTCTCGTCACACTCGGTGCGCTAAAAAACGAAAACAAAAGAGGTGCAAACACGTTCATTGTTTTTTTTATTCAGTGACTAGCCGACCCGGCAAAATTTGTACCGCCTAAAATTTTTTTTTCTCGCCATATAAAGCTTCCCTGGACTACATTTGAAGACTAAAATTAATCAAATCGGTTTTCGAGTTTTAGCAAGGTAACGAACAGAAATTCATTTTTATATTTATATAAATTGTAGATACTTATATGCCTACCTCTTGTTTTATGCCCAATAGGGCTGATGCAGATACGGAGCCGCGCAGAATGTAAAAGGTTACCGGGGCTCCGGCTCGAAGTGCGGGAGAAGGAACGGGGTGGTTTTTAGTCAGTAAGAGACTGAAACTCCTTTCCGCCTCACCCAGGCGGAAGAAGTCATTCAATGATTTTCCCCCCTTAAAAAAATGTTAACTGACGTACGGATTCCATTGAAAAGCGGTTTTATTTAATGTATTTATTTTACTGCCTCCCTCGTTGTCCGAGTGGTTGCAAGTTCGACTGCTGAGCAAGGGGTCTCGGATTCGATTCCCGGATTATTATTAGTATTAGTGGGTTTATAAAACGCTCGGGACGTCAGTTAACATTAGGACATTGTTCCCCTATATTTATTTATACTCTTTGAGAGGTTGCTAAGTTACATAAAAGCCCACAAAACCAGTCAGTATAAGCACCATCCTATGTTAGATACCTACTTATAACTAAGTATACTAGTCTGACTCATCTCTATCGTAGATTTAGACTCCGTCTTTAAGGATAGAAAGTATATAAAATCTTAATCTATGTCATGGTCTATCTGTATGCGTAATATCTGTTTTCGTGTGAGAGTAACAAACATATCTACCAAAACTATCATTCTACCAATGCTGTCATTTGACATGAGTAGTGTGTCGCCATGGTTCTGAAGGCAACAAAAGGACGGCATGCCGGCAGTACAATTTCCCTTCATATTCAGTGGCTGGCAAGGGTCTTGTGAGTGTGACCACTATAGTCAAATGTCGAGGGCACCAGGTCGCGTGCCCACTGAGAGGCGCCAAAAAAGAATAGGGGGCGCCTAAGGGCTATAATATGTTTGCCTTGGGCGCCCTCTAGGTAATACACCTCTGTCTATGGCACTGCGTGTGTCCACTTACCACTCTGATTGCTTACCCATCAGGTGATCCGTCTACTCGTTTACCATAAAAATGTACCCATGACACAGACGGTAATGTTAGTATGACACTAACGATTAATTATTTAATACTTTCTTCTCTTAACTCGTCGAGTACCGGTTTTGTAGAGACAATTATAGAACAATAGGTTGCGGTCACCGGTGACTGCAATCTATTGTTCTATAATGACGGTACTCGACGAGTTAATAATCTTCATAGATTAAACCACAGAAACGAGAATTACCCACTGATTAAACCAAGTGTTTTTCTAACACAAAACTGCAAGTCAAAGTGTGCAAAATAACTTTCGCTTTCAATACAATTGTTAGTTTAAACACGTCGCGTTGTGTAAGATGGTCAATATGTCACACGCGCGCTAAATATTTAATCAGGATAGGTGCTATGCGATATAAGTATGTATGGTAGGTAACTTATTGCATCATTGTTTTATAGTTAACTAGCTTTTACTAGCGCCTTCACTTGCGTATCCGGGATTAAATTTCTTTAAACCGTGGCCTGCAGTAGATTTTCTCCTGTATCGTGGGCGGTGCGTTTCCAAACATACAAGTTCACATACACATGACACACAGACCCGGAACAACAATCTGTGGATCACAAAAAGAGTTGTTCCTTGTAGGAACCGACCGTGCTATGTAAGAGCTACTGAATCTTCATGCTTCGTAGATGAGTTCAACGTCGCAGTTTGTCATATAGATGGTTGGCAGGCTATAACTGTGCGCTTCTTTGCCTCGTACAGCAAAACTGTGTAATGATCAGCCGTCGGTGGTATTTCGAACCGAAACCACCTTCAAACCTTTAAGAAAAGAGCGTATTCCCTTTCAAAAGGCCGGCACCGCAACTATGAATCCTTTGGCGTTGCGGGTGCCCATGGGCGGCGCTGATCGCTTAGGTACCATCAGGTGATCCGTCTACTCATTTGCCTTCTATCCCATAAAAAAAGGTTCGAGTCAGTTCAGGCTTATCCAGCTATACTCAACCTTAGCTATACAAGACCTTTTTGACTGGTTCACTGGAAGTTACTATGTTCCGTTCTATTTTACATTTCGAGCCTTTAAAAGAGCAAGCGATTCGGGGATCGGAGCTAAAAGATTTAAAAAAATGTAGCTAATAATTGGTGGTGGTCTTATTTGTCAAATAAATACATTAATTCAGATTTGATTTATGACGTCATATATTTTCGCATGCGACTCATGCATGACTGAAACCTTTTTTGGTCATAGTAAAAAAAGAAGGTTGAACATGGCTTTTTTTTCGAGGGGAAAATCATCGAATGACTTCTCCCTCCTGCGTGAGGCGGGAGGGAGTGTCAGACTCTTACTGACTAAAAACCACCCCGTTCCTTCTCCTGCACGTCGAGCCGGAGCCCCGGTAACCCGTTAGGTTCTCCGCGACGTTGAGCATGGCTTGGCTTGACAGCAATGGTTTTTATACATTCTCATCAGAAATAAATAAAACACAAATAAATAAATAAAAAAACGAATTTATTTATTTACCCATACCATATTCTACAATTTACCTTAAAATAAATAGCATTCTTCGTCTTAGAAACAATTTCTTTCTAACAGCTATTAATATTTAACGCGTCATATCCATTTTTTCTACATATTTATATGAAAATTAACTGCGAATTATCATCGTGCAATCAGCCACGTACTGTCCACTGCCTCCCCAGTCCCTCGTAGACTACAACATCGCGAGATTGGAAGCGACCAGAAACCTTAGTACGAGTTTCTTTTTCGTGTAAAGTAATCGAAACGAGACAGCGTTCTGTGCTCTGATTGGTTGGTTCATTAGAGCCGGCCAATGACAGCGCCCAACGCGAACTCGTTACGAATTCTCTAAACGAAAAAGAAACTCGTACTAAGGCCTCTGCTTACAGCGACTATCGAACCTTCACCAGTTCATCTGTCCACGGAGTGGGTGGACGTCCAGCTCCGCTTGCTGGGACATGCCTTTGTGATGTATTTCAGACTAGATTGTACTACAGTGTACTTAATTAATTAGGTAGTTTCCAGGGTATCAAATATAAAAATCTAATTAGTCCGTCAGTTAGATAATGAAAAAATATTAGACACGTATTTTTGTATTTTGTCGTATTAAGTTGCAATACTACGATAAACTGCTACAAAATGTGGCACGCTGTGACGTCACACGATATTTCAAATTAATATATCGTCGAACGTATTTAATTTTGTGAGAAAAGAAAAAATACGTGTCTAAAGTTTTAAATTAATGTACCAGACGGACATTAAAATAAGATTTGCAGTTGAAATGCGGTCTATCTATTAAGACCGTTAGATAGGTTTATCTAAGTATTTAGATTTGTTTTCTAGATATACAATTTTGACATTATCCTATAAATATACAGCCTATAAAGTAACCACTGCTGACCAAAGGTCTCTTCTCACACGGAGAAGGTTTGAGCATTAATCACCACGCTTGTTCAATGCGGGTTGGTGATGTCAAACTTATAATTAGAAAAATCAAAAAACATCGTTTTCCTTCACCGTTTGTCAGTGGTGTTTAAATAATCTTAAAACGTACATATAATTTGGAAAAATTCACATTGGTACTTGCCGTTGGTAGGTTTCGAACCCGCGCCCTCATGCATGAGAAGCGGGCGTCTTAAACCTCCGGGAGATTTTCTTACTTTATTGGAATATTTAGGTGCACCCGCTACTCGGCTCCTATTGATCGTAGTGTGATAGTCATTTGTAGTTATAGTCCTTGATAAAAGGACTATCCAAGACAGATTTTTTAAATTCGAAATAGCAGTTTAGGAGATAAGCGCATTAACAAACGAATGAAATTACATATAAGTCGGAAAAAGTAGCATTAGTGCTTACCAGGTTACGAACTCGCATCCTGATATAAGCTCTATAAGAATAGGCATGGCGACTATTTTTTAATTTTTTGTCCGTCTTTTAGATATTTTAAAAATCTTCGATACGTATTTTTTCTTTTTTCTCGTATCCAAAAAAACATGTAGATATTTTGAGTTAAAATGACGCGTGACGTCACA